GCCGGGCCGACCCGCCGCGCGGTACTGCCGGGCTCCCGGCGAGCCTGGAAAGGCCGTCGCCCGATTGAAACGGGCAGATGGCAGCGACCAAAAAGCCCTCCTTTCCTGAACTCTGCACAGCCGCACGGACCGGTATGGGCTGCCTCCGGCTGGTCCCCGCGCGAGTGACCCCTGCCAGGAGCGCTGCTCCCTGCCCTCTCCTGCCGAGGCGTTTACATGGGAGCGGGACTGTCCTGGGCGAGAGGGCCCTCTGAAACATGGGATGACTTAGCCCGTACGCATGTCCAGCAAACGGGCGTAAACGAGGCACGAAAAGCGCCTGAGAGCACACCTCTCGTCCGCGACGAAGCTGAGGTTAGGACCGTGGCTTTGCACCGCAGCTAAAGAAAATCTTTTTGTGTTCATGTAGGTTTTTATTTTCAGTTCATTATCTCGTTGCACAGTCCCGCTAGAGGCAAGCTGCAAGAGGAAAACTGTAACTGTCTCCACCAGCCTTTACAGCAAAGGCTTTAGCATAGCTGTAGCCGCTGGTCTATACGCATGGTGGTCCGAGCACACACACAAAATTACTTGAAGTAGTGGGTATACCGCTGCTGTAACATCACTATTTTGTCTGCCCTGCCTCATGTTATTTTAGGCGGCCTCAGTTTTCTCCCCTGTATCATCGTGCTGTCCAGCTGGCTACTGAATACCAAGAGACGCTGACTTCTGCACATGGCATACTCCAGAGTTTTATCATCCTGCCTTTAGATTTTCTGCTAGCTTGCTCTTTTCCCCCACTGACTCTGCTTGCCCTTCCTGAAAAACTAATTGCACAGCTCCTCACGTCTGTGCTGAAGAAAATTCTAAGTTAAACACACAACCCTGATGCTGTGAAAAACGCTATACCTAAATGAAACAAGCCATTTCTGTATATGGAGAGAATTTCCATCAGGGCTGTTTCAGGGAAGTTTCAGAGAATGCTTTGGCAGGATGGCTGAGGAGCCATGCGGGTGAACCTGCCACTGGATATTTGTTTTATTGCTGAGCCAACATCCTAAGTGTCTGCAAATACTCAGATTCAGTTCTTGTGGTTGCTTCCTGGGGAGAGACTAAAGAGCTGGTAGCTGGAGGCTGCTCCATGGACACCTAGTCCTTCAAATTGTCTGAAAAAAATTGTGGGCTCTAGCACCACTGCCAGATCTGCCTGCCCCCACCTCTTCCTTCACTGCAGTTAGCACGGTGCTCACTGCCTGTGTCCATCTGAGCCCTCAGCTCCCCACTGGTTCCAGCCCTGCGCGTAATCATCTCAGGATCCTACTATGAGTCTGACATGAGCTATCTGTCAAAACCCAGGGCTTTGCTGTGATTTCAGCTCAGAGGGAAAACTGGCCATGGGAGTTGCACACCTCTAATGCAGCCTTCTTCACTTAAAAATGATTTTCTGAGTAGAAGAAAACATTTCTTTGCTCAAATCAGCACGACCTTTTTTAGCCAGTGCCAAAATGGCTAATACCTCCCTTCTTCATTCCAACCTTTCTGCCTTGTTCTCACAGCCAGATTTCACCCCGCTGACCTAGAACCCTCCTAGAACTTCCCCTGGGAGTTCATCTTCCAGCACTGTCACACAAACACCTGAGCTGGCTCCTGCACATAGACATATGCCTCTCTTCAGTTACAATCACCCAGATCACTCCATTTTCTGAATGGACTTGCATAAGCCAGTCTTAAATGGAGATATCAGTGTGTGTCCTCAGAATGACCTCAAAAGCATAAACTTTGAAATCTATTGATGAAAAGCTCTTTAGATACCACTTTAATAGTTGCTAATATACAGATAACCATTTGCTTCATTAATGATAATTGTTTAAGGCAAAGTTAATTTTAATCAGAAAATTGGTATCATTATTCTGCACCTGAAGGTGACCCATCTTTTTTTGCAGCATATTTCAATATTCCAATCAGTTTAGAAGTATATTGAATATTTATGTCTGTTTCCAATACAATTAAGTAGTTCTTTCCCAGCCAGTACCTCAGCTCCCTAAGGCTCACAGGCGCTGGTGCTCGGCATTGCTTATGTACAGATATAGGAAAGGAACAGATCTTTGCAAAGTGAACCTAGCAGCAGTAATAATCTGATGATGCATAAGAGGTTAATTCCTGCTGAACAATTAGTGTAATTGACTTTTGTGTCAGACTAAAATTATGTTAGGATGACAGATCTCTAAGCATATCTGAAAATGAATGACATTTCTGAAATATTTGGGAGGATGACCAATTAAAAGCTTTTAATTGAATTCAAATTGCAGCAGCAATTATGTAGACATAGCCAAGACAGGACTATGGAATGAGGATGCCTGAATCTTGTGCTTTGGAGGGAGATATTACCAGGATTTGTTTTTCTGCCTCCTAAAACTGTTATATCACAAAAGTGAGCCCAACAGAACTTTAAAAACTATGGTTTCACATGTGGTCTCATATCCTGAAGCAACTTATTCCAAGATAGTCCTAGAACTTGGCCAAAAAAAAAAAAAAGTAAAGGAGCGGAAGTGAGTCTGTTTCCTTAAAAGCCCCAAATCCCAGCCTGGGCACTCTTTGTAATATGCAAGAGTTAGTAATAACTAAACAAACACATATACACAAATTCCCCAAAAGTTACTAAACTTCTGTTTCTACTCCAAAAAGGAAAAGAGAAGACTGACAGACTGCGCATCGCTAGTTCAAGACCTTGAGCAACCAGCAGAGTTGCCACTCTACAATCAAGGACTTCATCATTTATGTCTTGTTTGTTTAGTATCAAGAAGCCAGGTTAGATCTCAGGTGCAAAGTAAAAGATTCCTTAGCTTTCAGAATAAAATTATTGTTCTTAGTCTAATGAAGTTCCTCCTTCACACTTAGAACAAGTGTATTAAATGCATTTTCACACAGCAGAAGACATCCTTTGCCCACCAGCCTCACTTCTCCCCATGGCCACAAACTTCCAGTAGCCTCTTCACATCAGATTAGGAGATTGCTAGTACTTACTTCCTCACAGATCAGAATAAACCACGTGATACTTTCCAGTGTAGATATGTTTTAATACATGAAATTTCAGAAAGTTTTCTGGAAAATTTAAATTTGCTTTCTATCAATATTAAACTGCTTAAAATAGGCAGTGGTTTTTGCTGGTTTAGGCTTCCACACAGATGTAAACACACACACACACAAAGCAAAGATTAAAAATAAAAATGAGCAGTATTTAGACATCACTCTAAGTTAAGAGAGTCCCTTTAAGTAATGGGACACGTAAGATATCAGTTGATCAGGACAGTGTTCCAACAGGTACCGCAAAAATTGCATAGAAAAGCAGCATGCTGTTTAAATTCAGCTGTTTAGCACAGAAATGCCATCTAAAGTTTTCAGGCACTACATTCATGCTGCAAATGTGGCTCAAGTTACAAACTCATAACAAAACCTCGGAGGCTTCCTTGAAGGATATTGACAGCAATCTTTCCTACTGGGGGGATGTCTCAAAAGCAGCTTTACTAGTTTACAGTGGGTAATAGCCCACTATTTTTATTTACCTATCATGGTTTATTTATCCATCTGCAGCCAACAGGAGCATGTATCGCACCTTTAAGGTGCTTTGAGTAAGTTTGGTAACATGTATTTGGTAACGTGTATAGTACCAATGCGTCTGTGCCATACTGCTGGCCACCTGGAGGAGTTCCTCCACCAAAACAGGAAAAGCTGCAGCAAAACCTCTTGATTTTAAAGGAATGCTGAAGAATTGAAAGGAACCAGCCAAATTTTTTATCTCATTTAGTCTGCTGTAATTCTGGAGTAGCGCCAGGCTCACATGCAAGGAACTGCGATCAGACTCTGGGCCAGTCTATTTAATGGACCGTATAGTACAGGTGCCAATAACGCAGTCCACTGAGACTTTTTGTTATCCAAATCTGAACCAGGTTGTTCCTGAGCAGAAGACATGGCTATGGCTGATCCGTGTAAAAGCAGTCGTGCCAGTCCCATTTCCGTAGGTCCGTATCATTAGGCCACTAATGATGCACCTAGCAGAAGGGCAAGAACTGCCCGAGTGTTGCACGACTGTTCTGCGCCCTCCTGGGAAGGGTGGAGGACCACGGGCACAGGGGAAGCAGCAGTGTGAGGCATGGCCCTGAGCTGTCATTATTCTAATATGCCATCTACCTGCTGGTCTCAGAAGCTGTGGGCACCTCCAGTTTCTTGTGCTGCTAGTTTTGCCAGCTTCTCTAATAATTTCACCTAAGAAGTAAAATCACACTAACAGAGCACCAGTCTTCCTTACAAAAGCTATGCTGGGCCAGTCAAATCAGTCCTGACTCCTGCATGGGGTTGTATTATTCTGAAGACACCCGTCTGACTTCACCTAATTACCAAATGATGTACCCTGAATTCAAA